GGGGTCGCGGCGAGGGAGGCGGCCGGCAACGCGGCGTCCCCGGCCCCACACCCCTGCTGGGGTCGGTCAGCTCGCAGGACCCGTGCGGGTGCCACTAGGAGTGGGCGCAAAGTAACTCCATGGACGCAACGCACCCCCACCCCCCCAAAATAGCCTCCAACTGCGATGGCCGCGGTCGGCACCATTCACCAACCCCCTGTGTATGTTTCTGTTTCTTTTTAAACCAAGGGGTCCCGGGGGGGGAGTTTGCTCTGCCCCGCCGCCCGTCTGCCAGCACTCTGGGCCTGGACTCCCCGTGGACTCCGAGGCACCCCCAGCCCGCCCTGTCCCCAGGGCCGGGCCCAAGCGGCGGCTGCGCCCGTGCAAGTCCCATCAGGTCAGCTCACACTTCACACACTCACACTCATACCCCGCCCCTTCACTCTCTCACACTTTCTGCTCACACCCCGCCCCCTTCGCGCCCCAGACCCGGGCGGCGCCCCCCGCAACCTTAAAAAAAAAAAAGGCAAGCTTATACTTAAAAAAAAATCTTTTGGCGCCATATTAATGACGTACTTAAAATTTGCCATTTCTCCCTGCGTCAAAAAGACGTTTCTTCGCAAATAACAGCCTGGAGGCGACACTCGCGGAGGGAACGAGGTTTGCACTAAGCACTCCGCCCTCCGGAGCTCCAGCGCTGGAAGACCCTCGCCCCGGGCCGGGTTTCTGAATCGCTGGTTTTAAAACACGAATCGAATAAATCGCGTGGCGTTTTGCAGCGCCAGAAGTGAGCAGAAAGTGCTGGCAGGAGCGGAGGGGAGGGGCGCGCGCGGGGCTGGGGGAGGGGGCGCGGCCCTCCTCCCCCACCCACACCAAAAGGAAACTGACGCCCGGGACGAGAGAGCTTGAAATTGTGGAAGACCTCAAGGAAAGAGGGGCGGTCCGAGAAGAGGGTCTCTCTTGGGCTGGTCGCCATCTACTCCCTCCCGGGAGCCTCCAGGCGCCCAGTGTAGCCCCGCATTTCCGGGGAGTGGGGAACGCAATGATGGGTGGGTGTCCGGCTGGCTGGCTGGGTGCACGTCCTGGCCCCAGAAGGAGTTTGCCCGGGGCGACCTCCCTTCTCTCTTGCTCTTCCTTCCCATTAATCCTAAAGGGTTAAAAACTGAGGGGCAACTTCAAGGGCTGGCACTTGGCGAGGAAGCGGGGCGCCCCTCTCCCCACCCTTCGCCTCCTCGCCCCTCCTCCTCCGGCTCCACTTCCCGACTTGACCTTGTGGTGCACAAACAGTGCGCTCGGATCCTCGCAGTTTCTGGAAGAAGAGGCTGCGCTCGCCAGGCGGGCGGGCTGTCGGGCTGCTAGCCGGCGGTGGGGAAAAAAAAAGTTGTGGGGAGGAGGGGCGGGCGCTCGCCGGGCGGGCGGGCTGTCGGGCTGCTAGCCGGCGGTGGCGGGGCCTTGGGTCCGTTCCCGGAGCCGCGGGCCACACCCACCCAACCCGCTGCGCCCGCTCCGCTCACCTCTCGAGGAAGCAGGGCTGGCTTCTTGGATGGGGAGGGGTGGGAGCCAAGCTTCAGCCTCCTCGGGATGCCCCTAATTGGGGGAAAGGATGGTGGCCCAATAGCCCCAAAGCCTTGTCACTAACTTTTTCTACCTCTTCTTCTTGGCTGCCCCTCAAAGATGATCCAGTATTTTTTTTTTTCAGCTCACCTTTAGCTTTGAAGGCACGTGGGTGAGTTGTGAACCAGGCTGAAATTGCCTTCCTTTTCCAACACTGAAGGTTGTTTTTTCTTCCTTTCCCCTCCACCCCTTTCTATGGAAAGATAAATATTCAATTTACATAAGATGACATTTATGTGACAATTAAGAGGATTCCCCGATGGAATGTTGTGAACACATTTGCTTATAGGAGAAATAAATCTAATAATAAACAAACTCATAATAACAGCACAAATCCTCTGACAGGGCGGATTGTCTACACAACAAAGAGGGAGATGATGGATGCTGAAATAAGCACTTTTTGCAACAAGAAAGAAATATGAGCTCAGAGGGAGTCCCTGCAACATTTCTCTCCCTTAGCCTTCATTCACAAAGTCTGGTGGTTCTTGTCTGGCAGGAGGAGGGGCTGGCTGTTGGAGGTGGCTCTGGCTCTCAGTGGTGGGTTGGAAGGACTTTTCTCCCAAGCCAAGCTCCTGTGCCTGGAAGCAGGTGTTGCAGGCTGAGAGCTTGTAACAAAATGACTAAATATGTGAGTTCTAATCCTGGTTTTGCAGTGCAGAAGCTCTGTCATGTGGCAAATGAATTAATTTCTCTGAGTCCCATCTGTAGAATGGGGTGGTTGCAGGGTTCCTGAGGCCATGCATACGCATAGACTTACATGTATGCGTGTCTACATATACTTTCTGTATGTGGAAAGCAGAGCCTGGTTCAGAGTCCACAGTGCACATTAACACTTAGCTTACTGCTTGCTATTTTTTTTTTGGGGGGGGGGATGAAAGTGCTCTCCCAGAACTCTAAACACTGGAAAACTACGGGACAGTGACTTCTCTGTCTTACTTTCTGTGAGGACATATACAAAATCTCCCAGTGTGGGCAAAAGGAAGGCCAGAAGAGAAATCTGTGACAGAGGGTGGGCCCCAGACCTCTATCTGGATGCCTGGATAGATGGTCACATCCAGGCGGCAGGTTGAGTCACATGTCTGGAGTGGGAGTGGAAGGGCCAGGTTCCAGTGGCTCGGTCTAAGGGGGCTGGTCTGTTTGCGGGTTACATACAGGAGAGCACTGGATAGGCTCCTCCTAGCTGTCAGGAGTCCATGAACTGGAATGGGGAAGTACCTTGGCAAGCAATTACAAAAGACCTAGAGAGATGGCAGAGGGAGGGCATGGTCATTTAAAGAGCATCTGCTCTATGCTGTGTACTGTGCAAGCCATTCCCATTTCGTCCTCACAAAAAACCCATTTTACCTGTTCAGAAAGGTTTAGTAATTTACCAACACCACCACACAGCTAGTAAGTGCTGGCAGAACTGGCAGCTAGAATCAACTGATCTTGAGACCTTTGTGGTTTCTATTTTACCACCCTGCCACTAATAAAAAGTATTAGTATTCTTGGTTTGATTGAGGGGTCCTGGGGGGTCTTGATTGCTGTCTTGGCAAGAATTTGATGAGCAGCCTTTGGGGTGCTTCTTTGACTTGGAGTGAGACCCAGGTCACCTAAAGAATCCTCGGAAAATCCCACTTATTTAGGACTGGAAGCCCATCCAAATCATTGAATTTCCACAGCTCTTTGTTACTATTTAAGGTTAACCTTGGAAGTGTTAACAAAATGATAACGATAAAGCTAATTATAACTCCTTAATCTTTATTAAAAGTGTTACACATCATTCGCTAACTTTTTACAGGAAAGAGATGAGAAGAAAGAGTTCTTGTAGATGAATGTAGTCTGTTCCATTGCTGGCTCCACAGGAGTGATTAAGTATTGCAGAGAGGGAGCCAGATCCTGCATGGCCTGTTAAGAGTTTGAGTCCCCTCCCAGGAAGCTTGCAAAAGATGCCAGAATGCCCAGGATCATGAAAGGATGGAGAATTTGAGGAAAAAAGGTTTGCAGCCTGACTGTGCCCCATTGTGGAGTGCTTCACCCCACCTCCACCCATCCTTTTCTCTCTCTCAGGCGCACACACAGCCTCTGGCATAAGAAAAAAAGAAAATACCTGAGTTTGGGTAATTTAAAAGAATAGCAGTTTATTTAGCTCACTCTGGATCCAAAGCCCAGGGTTTTCCTGTGTGTGGGGTTTGAGGCCGTACAGGTAAGAATAGGAGCACACATCTCTGAGTTCATGAGTCTCTCCTTATAAACCCACCAGGAGCCAATCATGAGGGCCCGGCCCTGGTGCTCTTGATCCTAACCTCTTCCCAAAGGCCCCACTTTCAACCCCACAGTCCAATTACGTTTTCACCCTCTTAATCTCATCCCAGCCAAATCCCACCACGCGAATTTTGGGAGGATATGCCAGCCATAGTAATGTAATCATTTTCTCAACAAGTGTTTAGCGAGTGCCTCCCATATGCCAAGCACCATTGTAGATGCTTGGAAACACGGCACAAATGAAGTTCCGGGCCTAGTCTCCTGGAGCTTTGTTTCTAGCAGAGGGAGATACACAATTTTAAAACAAAAATATGTTTGAAGGTGATTATTCAATGCTATGGAGAAAGACTACTTAGGACAGAGTGATGCATAGTGTTTGTGTGACTTCAAACAGAGCATCAGAGAAGACGGCACTGAGATGGTGCCGTGTAAGTCAAAGGCAGTGAACGGAGGAGCTGGACATGGGAGTACGTAGCTATGGGAGGGTGCCTGTAGAAGGACTGTCTACTCAGGGATTCTTAACCTGAACACCCCCCTTTGTAGATCTGTTGCTAGAATTCAGGCCCTTGACCTTAGATGAGAAAAAAAGTTCCATCTTTATTTTCACTAATTAAAATTTAGCATGTTCTTCAATTATGAATACAGATGACAAATCAGTGATATTAGCAGCATTTGTGACATTGCTAGTAGAAATCTGATATTTTCATATCACATGATAGTTGTTACAAATACCTTAAAATAGCCTTTTACTTAACATCCTTCGAAATTATGCTGCTCGTTCTTGAATTTAATGAATTAATAAGCATATATATTGGGTTGTCAGAAAAATCATGACACATTTTTGCATAGAAAAAATACATTAGGGACCAGAAGGTGGTGTGGTGATTAAGACGCAGGACACCCCCATATAGCCAACCATGGTTCAAGTCCCGGACCTGGTGCCTTGCTTTCTCACATTCTCTCTCTCT